TGAGTGAGTGAGTCAGTCAGTCAGTCAGTCAGTGAGGGCTTTGCCTTTTATATATATAGATTTTATTATTTTGCTTCCAACGGTCCAAACAAACCAATTTACAATTATTTTTTTTATATAATGTTTAAGACGAATACCAAGTTCAATTATTATGAATATATCTGTTTAGTCCTTGCAAGAACAAGCCTACTATAGCCAACTTGTTACATAGCCAAGTAGGCCTACATGTTATTTTTACTTTACAAATTTCATCATGTTTAAATTAAAAGCCGATTTCAGGATAAGTTGCTGAATACTGTTTTCTCTACCAACTTAGGTTGAAGCACAATTTGCCCTATGCATAATGACAATAAAGGACGATTTCTTGACATTGAAAAGTGTTATTCGTAGAATAAGTAATTTATCACTTTAAAAGTTATAGCATAGATAAAACATACTCCCTTTGTAGATTTCTCATCCTCATGGAACAGCTGAAGACAATTTTATTGTTAGTTCTGTACGGTTTTCTGTAGAGGTCGTGTTTTGTTTACAATTTGTTTCCCGTTATTACAGCCATTTAAAACCTCTTTTAACCAAATAATACGATCTAATCATAAACAATAACCTGTCCCCTAGTTATATAACCAAACAGTAAAGCACAAATCAAGAAATTAACCCTAAAATAATAGAAACAAAGTTTCGTCGACACTAGCGCCCATGTGTCACGTACATGAACTAGACACGAAAAACGTGCTTCAAAATTTACAATGGGATGAGAAGTCTACTTGTGTTGGTTAGTCTATGGTTATATCAATGTTGTTTTTAACATTAAAAGAAAGGCAATAAACTCCAATTTCAGTAGGCTAGGCTCTGTAACACAAAAAGTATTTTTAAATAATCTTTTTGCAGTTTTATTGATCTTAATTGTTGATATAAAACATCTATAAATGAATCTATATTTAATTAATAAAATTAGCTTTTAAAATATAGTTTGGTTGTATGTCCTTTGAACTTAATGAAAATTACATTTTAAGATGCTTAAAAATAATGCAATATTTAAAAATAATTACTAAATATGATGGGACATCCAACTATTTGGTTCTGTTGTTGTAATGTTATGTTTATAATGCCAACAAATTAAATACAATCTAGGAATAATTTGTTTTCCAAGTAATGTTAGATACAATACTGATATTTTTTTTATGTTTGTTCAATAAAAATGTAGTTGCAATTAATTTTACATTTGCCTAATGTGCGTGGAATAAAAATTAACGTCTTTGGAAAAGTAGCTAAAATTGCAGCTGTAGCTACATTTCATTGTAGTTGTAGTTGTAGCTAGCTACTTTTTCGGAACTGTAGCTGTAGCTGTAGCTAAGCTACTTTTTTGGAAATGTAGCAGTAGTTGTAGCTAGCTACATTTTAAAAGTAGCTTCCCCAACACTGAAATAGCATATATAGCACGGCGAACTAAGGTCCGTCTCGTAGGCCTACAACAATCTCGGAATGTCAGAACCGTCAATTTTGGACATGATGCTAACAAAATACAACCTTTTATGAACACTATTTCACACAATTCAGTAATATTTATGCATAATAAAATGCATGAAGATTACTGTTATACATACACACAAACTTCACTAACACTAACACTACGAACTAATAACGTATTTAGTAATAAATTGCGGATAACACGAGAACGTACACTTACCGGCAACAACACAAACAAACAATGGCGAATACAAGACAGCTGACAGACTGTAGCAGTAATGACTTACTTCCGTCGTCTTCATGCGAGCATACAGAAATAACCCTGAGTGCAGGGCTGCCACTCTCTGAATCTATATTTCTTCCCCTTCAAAATGACATACTATATGACTAGTAATAATAAATTACACTGTATGTAATTCGTATTTTCCACATCGTCACCTGACGACCATTGGCCATTTGTTAAAAATTTCAAAAACAGCTGTTTTCATAAAATCGTACCGGTTGTGCAATCAATATTTCGTTCTAAATATTACTACCACAATGAAGATAAAATCAATGGCTATCCAGTGGTACCACCCGCAACATCCCACGACGAAAATTACCTGAGCAGGGTAATGCCAAACAAGACGTGTTTTGCCAGTTCCCAAGTGTCGGCTGCAAAAGTCGTGCCGCGCGAAAAATTAATTTGATTTCTAATCGTTGTGACATTGTTATATACCTGCTACAGGGTTTGTTTATGTAATAAAATGAAAGTTCAGAATGTGATCTTTCGAATGGTATATATATAATTCAATTCTCATCTGAGTTGATTGTAAGTGTTTTTTTTAACGCTAAAAAAATTTCGGCCCAGATCGTCACCAGACGACTTTGGCCATTCTAAGCATCAACGACAGATCGTCACCAGACGACGATCGGCCACAGCTAGGGTTAAGGCAATTTAATTACATATCGATTGACATCTTATTTTTGAAGATTGCACGAATATTAACTGAAATATGGCAGCTTTAGTGATAAGTGCCCGCTGGAGGTTAGTTGCAGTGCATGCCGAGGCATGCGGCTCAAGTCTTCCACAACAATGCAACAGTCTCCGTCCACAATGCAAAATATTTTTAAGCGATTTTAGATAATTTCAATCAATAATAAAATATTACATAACCCTAAAAATATCTTTTTGATCAATTATCTAGAGGATGGCTTAACAATTACACACATTTTTACTATCTTTAAAATTTACACTAAACACCCAAACTTTTTATAAAGTGTACACTCAGTGTCAAAAATTTGAGGAACTGACTACTATACATTGAATAAATTCATATGGCGTCCATCCATGTTAAGATACATATCTATGAGATTGGATTTTTAGTTCAAGACGAGACGAGACGAGATTTTTTATTTCTCATAAAATTTCGAGACGAGATCGAGACGGGATTTCCCTTCTCATACACAACAGGAAATGCACGTTCAAAACTTTTACCTGATTTTGTAACATTGTTAGATGACTGTTTAAATACAAAAATAATGATATTAGGCAAGAATATTTACAATCTTTTATTAAAAAACATCAGCATAACATTTTTTTATTAATCACGCCTAACTTATTAAAAATGCCTACGATAAGAAAAACATAGTGATATCAGTTAGGATAGACTTAAACTTATCCTAAAATAAAATAAATCATAAAATAAAGCAATATTAATTTTTATAAAATAGTTAAGTACTTGTTTTGGCTTTTTATAGTATTAAAACATTCCTCACACTGCTTACACTTAACAAAACTTCTCAAATGTTTTAAAGTAATATTATAAAAATAATAAAAGTAATATTTACATTTAAAGAATTAATTAAATAAGAAAGCCTTCGCAAAGGAAACGCAACTTTAACACGCTCCTGTATTGCGGGTATTGCATTGACTTTCTGCAGGGGTTTTAATTTTTTTTTTTTTTTTTATTCTCGTCCCGATAAAAATCTCGGCCAAAAAGAAATCTCGACTCGTGTAACGAGATTTAAAATTTCCCGAAATTTCGAGACTTGACCATCCCTAATATATATGAATTTGAACGAATAGTGTTTTTGGCCTTTTGGGACATCAAGACAAGAAAAGTAAATCAGTGTCTGTTTTTTAGTTTGCTGGAGTGTTGGTTTTAAATCAAATTATTGTTATTTATATTCAACTAGCTGTAACCTGCGGGCTTTGCCCCGTTTAACTTCTTAATTTTCAAGATGATCTCGTTGGCATGGCTCAATCACATCCTGGTTGAAGTTCGTTCGCTACGCTCACTCACCTTTGGGTTGGAGTTCGTTCGCTACGCTCACTCACCTTTGGGTTGGAGCTCGTTCGCTACGCTCACTCACCTTTAGGTTGGAGCTTGTTCGCTGCGCTCACTTGCCTTCAGGTTAGCTCGTTCGCTACGCTCACTAGCCTTCAGGGTAGCTCGTTAGCTACGCTAACTCGCCTACAGGTTAAAGTTCGTTCGCTACGCTCACTCATCTTTTGGTTGCAAATTAGCTGTTGTCATAAATGTAAAAGAAATAATAATGCTGCACCCTGTTGGTAATCCTTGTAACTTTAATGCTATTGAACATCATAGAACAGAACCAAATTGTTTAATTGAAACAGCTGTTAAGATTCATTAATTCCATTTCTCATAAGGTTAACATGGGAAACCCCAGAGCCACTGGGGCGGAGCCGATTGGACGAATCACGAAATTGATGGTGTATAAACCTATTCCATGAAATTCTACACGTATGTACCAAGTTTCGTGGCAATCGGTTCAGCGGTGTCTGAGTTTATCACTGCCAAACAAATATATATATATATATATATATATATATATATATATATATATATATACAAACATCCTCTTTTATACTTATAGATGAATTTGTAGCCCTGTGCTCGTTTGTGCTATGGTCTCTGAAGCTTTTGTTATTCAGTATGGTTCAGTATTGTCACAGTAGTTAATCACTAAATAAATATCTTTTTTTACAAATTTTAGAATTCAAACTGTTGGAATGGGAAATGGTAAAATTAAGATTATAAAAAAGAAACCATGTTGACTTGAGCAATAAAAACAATGTAATAAAAAAATAAACAGAAAGAAATAATAACATATGATAAATAAATTTACACATGTTAAATGCAGATCACGATTACTAGAAAAATACTGGTATGGATCATAAACATCAACAAATGACGTTTTTGGCCCGAAAATAAACATTATTTAACATTGGTTAGATGGAACTGCTAAAACATATGTTCAATGCTATTAGTATAGGATTCGGGCCAACAACGTCATTTTGTTTACGTTTATGATCCATACCGGGTATTTTTCTAGTAATCGTGATGCAAAACAAGGGGGAAAAAGTCTTGAACACAAACCAAACATTAAATGATTTCATCTACACAGTGTGTACATTACGTTTGTGGACCACTAATTGTTAAGAAAGATAAAATCTCAAAGAGAAATACGTTCATTTACTACAGATAAGCTTGAATGTATATAACAAATGTGTATTCTGCTCTCTGTAGACGAGAGCGGCAGCAGTGATCAAGCAGCTGCAGGACTTACATGACCAGATAGAGCAAGCCTGCATGGAGCTGTCCACATTTAAGTTCCTCAAGGAGCAGGAGGAGGCGGCCATACCTCGCAGAATTGAGGTCAGTAGGGGATGGTTAATCTTGCCAAAATTGTGCTTTGGTTATCAAGTAAAAAAGGAAAGGAAAATGTTCAACCATAATGTAAAAGGTTTTCATAACACATTTTGGTTTCTTTATAAAAGGACCTTTTCCGTTATACTACTACCATTTTGTTTTTATTGGTTGTAATGTTATAATTATCTACAGTGGATATTTATAGGTATGCACTGTGGATGGGATACTCCCTGGTGTGGATTAACGTCCGCACTAGTGAGTATTACGACTATCCGCAGTACTATCCTGATAATTAGACCAATTCGTTTATACCAAGGAAAAAATGTGGTTCGGATTCCACTATAAATTGTAGGTCCCTTAGTTGCCATTAGCTGTTTGGGCTATTAATTAACAGCTGTGTCTAAGGAATGTCGGCCTTAGTCACTAACAAGACTACAAGATCGCGCCACTCATCCTACACTCATCTCCATTCATACTTGGCTTAAAATACCTACATTGTATGGTCGCCATTTCATAAGAAAGTATTAAAGTATCCTGTTTGTTTACTAAATAAACATCAGTGATAGAATAATATTGTATAGTCCAGGACCTGACTAGGGTTCTGTGTGCATGTCGTGTATAGTGAATTTTACTTTTGCATTTCAATATAGGTGTCTTAGGAAGTGTTTTCCACTCGGGTGTCAAGTTCGCACCTGGTACGTTTTCGAGCTATGACGTCATCAAAATGGCGGCCATTGATTTTTTTAAATTGTATATTTCGCAAACTATTTGTCGGATCGGAATGAATGTTTTTTTGTTTGAAAGATAATTTTAAATGCTACCTGTTTTACATTTACACATTTGTTGTATGTTTAGTACATTCTTCGTAATTTTGCAAAAACCTGTATTTTAAAATATTTTTGAGTTATTTTTGTTTGTAACGTTTTATTGATACAATATATCAGAAATAACTTATAGACAAAGTTGTAGCACGTTAAAATAGCTTTACAAAAATACCAAATTCGATATGCTTTACTCAAAAGATCACGTCAAGAAACTAGAAAATCGTACAAAACAACCTAATTTTGCGCAAAAACGCATATAAATCCGACATCGATGGCTGTGTTCGAGTCATATATAGACAGTTTTACCATTCAATGTTGATGTATGTGTCTAAAGAAGTGTTTTTAACTCGGGTGTCACGTCTGGACCCACTGCAGTTTCCGGTTATGATGTCTTAAAAATTGCTACATGTTACGATTTCACCAGCTATTTTACTTAAAATAAGACCATTACCCTCTTTTATGCAAATAAAAGCACAACAAATCAATGTAATTAGTCCATAGGAATGTTTCCACTATATAAATACCCCCGGTGCAGCAATCCTTTCGACTAAGCGAATTTCCATTTGCATGGATTGAGATTTATATGCGTTTTTGCGCAAAATTAGGTTGTTTTGTACGATTTTCTAGTTTCTTGACGTGATCTTTTGAGTAAAGCATATCGAATTTGGTATTTTTGTAAAGCTCTTTTAACGTGCTACAACTTTGTTTTTAAGTTATTTCTGATATATTGTATCAATAAAACGTTATCGACAAAAATAACACAAAAATGTTTAAAAATATAGGTTTTTGCAAAATTACGAAAAATGTACTAAACATAAAACAAAAGTGCAAAAGTAAGAAAGATAGCATGTAAACTTATCTTTCAAACAAAAAAAAGTTCATTCCGATCCAATACATGGTATGTAAAATATCGTTATTTTTAATATAGCCCTTTCCGCCATTTTAATGACGTCATAACCGGAAACTGCAGTGGGTGCAGACGTGACACCCGAGTTGAAAACCCTTATTTAGACACGTACATCAACATTGAATGGCGAAACTGTTTTTATAAGACTTGCGAACTGCCCTAGAGGCCGGACTAATAGGCGTTTTTGCGCCAAAATTGGTGTTTTTATGAGATTTATCTAGTTTCTTGACGTAATCTTTTGAGTAAAACATATCGAATTTGGTATTTTTGTAAAGATTTTTAAATGTTCTACAACTTTTTTCATTGGTGGTTTTTGATAAATTGTATCAATAAAACGTTACAAACAAAAACAACTCAAAAATATTTAAAAATACAGGTTTTTGCAAAATTACGAAGAATGTACTAAACATACAACAAATGTGTAAATGTAAAACAGGTAGCATTTAAAATTATCTTTCAAACAAAAAAACATTCATTCCGATCCGACAAATAGTTTGCGAAATATACGATTTAAAAAAATCAATGGCCGCCATTTTGATGACGTCATAGCTCGAAAACGTACCAGGTGCGAACTTGACACCCGAGTGGAAAACACTTCCTAAGACACCTATATTGAAATGCAAAAGCAAAATTCTCTATACACGACATGCACACAGAATTCTAGTCATGTCCAGGACTAAATCTTTCCCGGAACGTACACCACTTTCAGTGTTCGTTTACGATTTATTCAATCTCTTTGCTTTATCTTTAGGTCTAATCACATATTGTTTGGTATCATTGGAAAGGGTATAGAATCATCTGCAACTTTTGCAATGGGTGGTATTTGATTTTATCAGCGGTTAAGAAGTTATAAGCAAAACAATAAATATAATAATAATAAAAAACACGTTTTTTAATATAGTGAGATAAATATTAAGTTTACAACAAAAGTGTAAATACAAGAAAGATAGGGTGTAAAAATATATTTCAAACAAAAAATAAATCATCCTGATCCATTAAACGGTTCGCGAAATATACGCATTCAAAAATTGCTGAGCCGCCATCTTGATGACGTCATAGCTCGAAAACGTACCAGGTGCGAACTTGACACCCGAGTGGAAAACACTTCCTAAGACACCTATATTGAAATGCAAAAGTAAAATTCACTATACACGACATGCACACAGAACCCTAGTCAGGTCCTGGACTAGTAGGCCTTGTAGGCCCTTTGCCCTGCCCATGCTACATCTTAACTAAATTGTTTGTAATTTTACGCTGATAAAAATGGGGAAAAAGTTTAAAGTAATGATATGTAGGAAATCTACAGAATATGATATGTCTAAAGTACAGAAATGTTGCTTGTAGTAACCTGTTAAAAATCATGGCTTGTTTTCCTAAAACTTAAGATATTATTATAACTGGTAAAAATTTTTCAGTCTCTCACTGATGATGTTAGTCGGCAAATGGAACGAGAAAGAACTCTTCAGAAAAAGTATGGCGAGTTGCAGGAGCTATTGGAGGAACTGAAGCTAAAAGATGAAGGAAGCAAACAAGTTTAACTACTCCTTTACTGTGCTATTTATCTTTAGTACACACATTTCCTAACAGTTTTTATGTGTGATTTGATGTTTCTGAGCTATTTAGTTGTGATCTTCTCCTAAAGGGTGATCAACTGTAATGCCCTTTCTATATATTATTTTAGTTTAAAATTTCTTTAGTTAGTAATATAATATTCATTACATAGTCTATTAAAAAAATATAAAAAACATTACTTGCTTATTTTTTCATAGCTTTTTCTTGTAAAAAAATAACTCACCTCTTCAAATTCTGTGCTAGATCGTGGATCATACTTTTAATTACCTTTAACATATTATAGTATAGGGGGAGAGAGTAAAAATTATTTTTCCTACAGTCACCAGACAAAGTGGGCTATCTTGCACAGATTATAGTACAGAAAGCATTACTTTGGCGCAAAGTTTTTACTTTGGCGCACATCAGTATACCAACCAAACAACACAAAACAGCGCGCTTTTATTATGCACGTAATCCGTTTACACTTGAAAATAAGTTGGTAACAAACACTTAAAGATATCATAACTACGATCAGCTGGTGCAGCGTTTCCCATTTGCACAATTTTTATTTCACTATTAGTTTGGCCAACAGTGTCATTTGGTCATACTTAATTAATTATAAAATTAAACTTATAATTTTTTAATTATAAAATTAAACTGTCATAACTCATAACCTAACCAAACTTGCTGATAATGAAAAATTGAAAGAAGGTTTACTAATCGGAAAAATAGTTCTGTTCATAAAATAAAATTATAAATGCCTCAAATTCAATTTTATAGTTTTTTAATCATAAAATTAAATTGTCATAACCTAACAAAAAAAAAAAAAAAAAACGAATTTTGCTGATAGTAAAAAAATTGAATAAAGGTTTACTAAAAAAAAAGTTCTGTTCATAAAATAAAAAGATAAATGCCTCAAATTCTAACAAAAAATGTACAGTTAAGAAGTAATCACATTCTAAGCTAAATGGTTTACAGAAAGTTAGTGCAATCGGTGGAATTCGATCCGGCTATCTTCAGTTTATCAGGCAGGTACGCTATCCACTACACCACCGAGGCCAATGGCTCTAAACCGTATCGTTGCGGTAATGGTGTTCCCTCAAGAGAAGAGAGTGACAACAGCCAATCAGAAGCCTCCAAATGACACTGTTGGCAAAACTATTAGTGAAATAAAAATTGTGCTTCGCATTTTGTTCAATGTTTCGATTTAACCTAACCTAAAAGCGTGTTGTACAGTGTTTAAAAAATAGTTCATAGTTAGTGTTTGAAAGACTAACTATTTATATGATTTATTAGTAACTGTAGGAAAAATATAATGTGTAACACGAGTGCAAACTGCTCGAGAAACTTTCCACACTCGCCTACAGCTTGTGCATAAACATTTCTCTCGTGTGCAGCAAAGTGCCACTTCGCCCACTAGTTACACAAATAACTATTTCCTACCACTGCATGGACATAATCACATTGCCATACCTGTAAAGCAAAGTAGCTCATCAGCTGATTTCACAGTTGGCGTTTCTACACCAATCACAGCCGCAAATCCGATACGTTATGTTCAGTAAAAGGCCAGCTGACCATATGAGCATATTAAAATAATCCCCACATGTCAACAACAATAAAATAATAAAATTTTGAAAATGTTAACATTCTGGTTCAAAAAGTGCAATTTTTCTCTCTCGTAATATCGTTTCTTTGTGTAACATCATTCATTTCTCTCTCCTTTTATTTTGACTTGTTTCATTTACCTTTTCCTTTTGTGTGCATTAAATAATAGTATATTTCATTACTAGGACCGAAAGTGGCATTTTCCGGCGCGCGCTCAAGTTTTTGTGTGAGGCGAAGCCGAACACAGGGAACACCAATTTCACGTGCGAGGCGAAGCCGAGTACGTGAGAGCTATTTTCACGTACGAGGCGAAGCCGAGGACGGGAATAATGGAGCAAGTGCCGGATAATAACTTTCGGTACGAGTTATGAACGATACTTTTCATCACGACGCAAAAATACACAAACACAGAATAGCAGACCTCATCAGTAATATTACAATAATTATCCATCAAACAATTTGTTTAAACATAAAAATAAAATAAAATCTTCTAAAAGTAAACCTATGTTCATTTTTGTTTGATTTTTAAAACACAAAATAAAATAAAATATTCTAAAGGAAACCTTAGTATATTTCTTAATAATTCAAACATCAAAATAAAAGATTAAAACGACTTTGAACAATACATACAGCTGATTAGAATCATTAAATTAAACCGTAACAAAACACTAGCGCGCGTAGTGAATAAATGGAAAACTAATTGAGAGCGAGGGAAAGTAAATTTAGAGCGAGGGAAAATCAGCTGATTGATTTTCCCTCGCCCTAAATTAGAGCTTGGGAAACGACTACTTTCATTGATGTCAGCTGTTATCGAAAATAGTTACTTTCGGTGAGGAGTGATGAAAACCCTTTTTAATTTGACTCTAAATTCTGTGTACTGTGAGAACATTTGGACATTCATGAAACATATCTTCTCAACTAGAGACAACATTCGACCAGATCTTCTTTCAAGACCTTAATAACGTCAAAGTGGTAACATAACTATAGTTCAGTGTTAAAAATTAAACCAAAAGTCCATCATAATTATTTTCTGTGGTCAAAATTAAATTAATAACCCATATACAGTCCACTTTATTATTTCTACAATAACCTTTTGATTACGCTACATCTTTGGTCCGTTCGCGTCGGATTGTTGATTAACCAATTGATTGAACTAATTAAGTGGACTTTTGGTGAATATTTAAAGACGGACATAACCTCATAAAGTCGCTTCTGCTCAACCAGAAATGTCGCTCTCGATTTCTCAGCCTGCAACTACGGTACTTCTAGGCACCGCTCTCATTAAAATTACCGCTACTAATGGAATCTCTCATGTCTGCTCGACAGTGGAAGTCAACTCAACTTCATGACAGAGAGGGCAGCACAGCTATTAAACGTCTCTCGTCACCGCTCTACTCACACAATCGTGGGAATCTCTGCATCGCAATCCTCGACAAAGGGACATGCACTCCTAGAACTATCCACACTAGGCAGTGAATTATTTGCATCAAATCAACCTTTCCATATTCTAGATAGAATTTCCGCTCCTTTGCCTCGTACTCAACTCTCTTTAGAGGTTTACGAACTCGTAAAACCTTTTGTCCTCGCAGATCCGACCTTTCATATTCCTCAGAATATTGACATTCTCATAGGAGGTGCTTTGTTTCCAGAACTTCTTACTCATCAATCCTACCCATTGGGCTCAAACCTTCCATTCGTTATTGGAACACGATTGGGATTTGTGTTAATGGACAATGCACCAACTTTGTCTAACTCTTCTCCCACCTCATGCCATTCTTCTCTACTCTCCACTACGGACGAGCTACACAATACTCTACTTCGCTTTTGGCAACAAGAAGAGGTACCGCAGTGCAATCTTATCTCTGAAGATGATCACCTCGCTGAAGATCACTTCAAATCAACTCACTCCCGCTCTCCAGATGGAACATATGTGGTTCGACTCCCTTTCAAAGACCAACATCAACCACTGGGCACTTCAAAATCTGTTGCTGAACATAGACTTCACTCAATTGAACGAAAGTTTGAATCCAACTCTAATTTCAAGGAGTTGTATACACAGTTTATGACTGAATATGAACATCTCGGACACATGGTCAAAGCATCCCCTTCCGATCTTTCGCAACCACACTACTATCTGCCTCATCACGGTGTACTGAAGGAAACCAGTAGTACAACCAAACTTCGTACAGTTTTTGATGGTAGTTGCAAAACCAGTACCGGTGTCGCACTAAATGATATTCTTTTAACCGGTCGCAAACTTCAAATTGACATTTGTGACATTTTGTTGAATTTTCATTCACGTAATTTATGTGTTCAGTTGCGATATAAGGAAAATGTATCGTTGCATTCAAGTTCATCCTGACGACCAGAAGTATCAGTTAATTCTATGGCGTGATCCAAAGACTCAAGAAATCTCCACATACAAATTAACGACAGTTACATACGGTCTTAGCAGTTCACCTTTCCATGCCATCAGAGCGTTACATCAACTTGCTGACGACGAAGGAGGGTCCTTCCCAACAGCAGCCAAAGTTTCACAGGATCATACGTATGTGGATGACGTCATCTGTGGAGCTAATACTCTCAACGAAGCTAAAGAACTACGAGATCAGCTGATTGAACTTCTTGCACGTGGTGGTTTTGAGCTAAGAAAATGGGCATCCAATTGCCCAGAAATACTCCAAGATTTGCCTCAAGATCATCTAGAAATACCAGTCTTTTTGGAAGCCACTAATCACCCTCATTTTGCCATTCTTGGACTACATTGGTCACCCATTTCAGATTGTTTCACTTACAACTTAAGTCTCCCTGATGGTCCTCCTACAAAACGATCAGTGCTGAGCATTATAGCACGCATTTTTGACCCTACCGGTTTTTTGTCACCCGTGACCATGTGGGCAAAAACCCTCATGCAAATACTCTGGTCACAGGGTATCCAATGGGATGACACTCTTCCAAATGAACTTGCCGAAAAATGGCACATTTTCGTTGATGAAACCTCTCTCCTTTCAAGTATTAAGATCCCTCGCTCGTTCCATTTCACTACCACATGTTTCTTACAACTCCATGGATTTTCAGATGCCTCCGAAGTAGGATACTCAGCAGTCTTATACTTCCGCTGTGAGTTTTCAACTGGAGAAATCATCACTCGTCAGATTCTCGTAAAAACACGTGTAGCTCCTTTGAAACGTGTTACTCTACCCCGCTTGGAACTATGTGGTGCACACTTGCTTGCAAAACTCACAACCTACTGTTGTACAATTTTCAAAGAAAAGATTGACCTTTCTCAAACTACATTGTGGTGTGATTCATCAGTAACCCTCACTTGGTTACACACCCCATCATATCGACTAAAAACGTATGTTGCCAACAGAGTTGCTCAAGCCCAAGAATTGATCCCCTCTCACTCCTGGCGCTACGTTCCCTCAACGGACAATCCCGCTGATTGTGCGTCACGTGGTTTGCTTCCCACTCAACTCATTGATCATCCTCTATGGTGGAATGGCCCTCCATGGTTAACTCTTTCAGATGATCATTGGCCATCTAATCGCTTCGTTCCCATAAACTTGCAAGACACTCAAGAATGTAAAACTACTCCTCTAAATGTCCTAGTTTCAACCCAACCTCCAGAATGGGATCTTCTCTCCAAAGTACTCATCGTGGTCCAAACTACTTAGAGTAACAAGCTATGTCTTGCGGTTTATCCACAATACACGTAGCTCTGACCGAAGACA